AGACACAAAAGATATTCAAATATTCTCATTTGTTTTCTGGGTTTGGTTTTTACCCCCTAAATGCCCTGAAGTCACTGACTGCAGTCTTGCCTTCAGGGACACAGTTACATCACTGCTCTTGACGTTATTGAGACACACTTTTTTAATAATCCACCACAGAATGTCTTTGTCTGCACCTCTTCTTGCCCCCAGGGGTGTGAGCAGCAGTGAGGATGCAGATAAAAAGAGAGCAGAGAGAGCAGCAGACTCACCTTCATCTCCTCCACCCAGACGGCAAGACCACCTGTTCACTCCTCAGCTGTCTCTTCTTCTCTGCAGACAAACAGCAGAACATTTACAGGTATATGATGTGTGAAACTATAAATGTCTTAACACTACCTATGATTAATATTATAACCATTTGAGTCCTTGCTGAATTTCAAATTTGTCAAACATTTACCTCCGAGGGAGATCTTTATTTTCTAAGTTGTATAGTTCTGCATGATGATTGAATTATCCTATTATTCATACTTATTTTAACATTATTTCTTGTTCCTTTCTTTATTTTCTCTTACCTATCCCAACTACTGAGCCGTTTCTTTTCTCCTTATTTTGTTCTTTGAAGGTTTTTTTTCAACATCCCATGTTGTGGTGATTTACCTGTAAGCACTTTGAATCCCTGTTTTTTTTAGATTGAAAGGTAACTGTGGAAATGTCATGGAAACGTGCTGTGAAATGACTTGAAGTTGTTGAAGTTTGTACATGACTTTGTATCCATTAAAAAGACGTCCAACTTGGTGTTTTGCAGCCTTGTAAGCCAACGGACCTCGTCCAACATGATCCGGCTCCTGGTCTTCCTGTCGCTTCTCGCCGGGCTGGCAGGTAGGCAAACACACGGCAGCATTTTTACATCTGCACGGAAGACAACGTTATCCAGTCCAATCAAAATCTGAAATCATCTTTATTCACATCTGAAGGCTTTTTTACATTCAAAAACGCTTCATGCTTTACTTTTGGGTCTTGATTGTTTTTTTGACACTTTTTGTCTTCGTTCGTTCATTCTAAAATGTTCAGTTGTGATAGAAGATCTATTCAGCTGATCCGTGTTCAAATACATACACATCATGTTAGGACATTGGAGGTCTGTACTAAACCTCGCAAAAGATACACAGTTGTTGGCGTAATCCCCGGATGTGGTTTGCTGCTGCTCTGAACGACACATAACGAGAACTTGGCGAGACTTGGCCAAAACCTGATGATGTAATATGATGGATTGATGTGACTGAATGTGCTGCCTTACTGTCTCATTAACACCTCGAATGTTTCTCTGCTGTTTTCAGTTGTAGATGCAATCTCATACAATACAGACCAATTTAAGGTTACAACTTCGAAGCCTTTCTACTACTTTGGAAAACAAAAATCCTCCATTTACGTGAGTAAGACTGAAGTCTGATGTTTAAGAATATCTGTCTTTTTTTCCCTCAGCTGGGATTATTCATGTAAATTCATTTTCTATGAAACACTCGATAACACTCACTAAAATATATCTGTGCTAAAAAACAATCCTGTCTACTGTAATACATAATATACATGACGAGATAAACCTCCATCGTTAAACAGCTCATTTGGTACAAATCCATTACATCATAGTAGGGGTGGGAGGTAAACCGGTATCAATACCGTCACCGGTTTAAGCACACGTTTGTTTGTAGTGCACATGAAGCAACACTGATCGCTCAGTTTACTAGCAACAGTTAAATAAAAGGAGCATTAAATAAACCACTCAAAGCAGAGCCGGGGGTCTCTCTCACGCTCACTGATCATAAGGCTCCGCCTCCTCCTTGTGTCAGAGCTTGTGTCAGTGTTTAATAGACATGAATGCATCTTTTGAGAATGTTGTTTGGTCAGTTTATGGAGGACTCCAGCATCCATTCATGAACTAAGAGGCCTGTTTGTATGAAAAATACAAAGGACCAAGTTTGACTTTGTTTTGTGTCGCTCTCATATCAACAGGTGAGCCTCAACACTACAAGGACTGCCATCTGTTTTGACGGATATATTTCCAGCAAAACTAATCAGGACTGCTTTTTCATAAATGTGCCGACGAATTCTTCAACTTCTGTTCTGGAGATAAACAAAAACTTAGCAGCAAATTTCAGACGTTATTTGCCTTCTAGTTTCAATGTGAATGCAGTAAATTTTATCATGAAATTATTTTTCAAATCAGGATCCAAAAACGTGAGTGTTGTTCTGATCCATCACAATTAGAATGACCTGTTTAAACACTTGACTTGAAAATGACTTCCTGTTTGTCTTCCCAGTTTGAAGTTTTAATTATCAGCGGTAATGGTCCTTCAATTGTGCTCTCCAATCCCATGAACTTGAGAACTCTAGTGAGTATATAAAATGTGCATATAATAATTAAATGAAAAAGTGTTTTGTTCTTGTTTTGAATTATATCTCCACTCAGACAGCAGCTTTCATGATGTTTAGAGGTAAAAATGTAAAATGCTTGAACTGGAATAATAACATGAACATGGCGGCGCTGTGTAACCACAAACAGTCGCTTTAAAATGTGGAGGTTCTTTCCTCGCCTCGTGCTTCTTCTATCCACCTGGTGCAGCAGCCAGAGCGCATGACTCAGAATAAGCCACAAAGTCAGTAAAGGAGTTGTCTTGTTCTCCGATGTGCGGACCGACATTGCACCTTTTTTTTGTCCCCCGGGTCTGCCTGTCTTGTAAACTAAGGACGCTTCATGATACCATAAAGACATGCATGTGTTGTATTAAGTATTAAGACGTCATGAACAAGAGGTAACCGTGCTTAGTCCTGGATAGTCCTGTACGGGACAACTTTGCCAGTGTGAATGCGCCCTTAAGGCTCCCACACACCAAGCAGACGGCAAAAAACTAGAGGCGACAAGGTGAGAAATATAAATAGAGAAATACAGGAAAAATGTATTGATTGATATTTTGATGTCTTCAAATTTAAGCTTCTTTGTCTTTGTCCGTTTTGATGATTTTTTCAATTTCTTTTTCCTGTCATGAGGCTCTCAATGTGTATGTGAGGCACTTTGCGTGTGTGTGTGTTTATTTGTCTGTGTGTGTGTGTGTGTGTGTGTGTGTGTGTGTGTGTATGTATATGTGTGTCTGAATGTTAACCTCCCTCAGAGGCATGTTAGCTTTGCAGCAGCTATGCCAGGTTCATAGAGAGCCATCATAGTGACTCTAAGAAGTGGACTGACCCTGATTTTGCTTCATAGTTCGGCCTCCCCCTGTCTCTGCTCTGTGATGGTAATGATGCTCTGTTTGTCCCTGTCCAGGAGTATGAACTTCTTGTAGGCGGCAGAACAATTGTTACCAAAACAATCTCGGGTGTAACTACGCAAGACACCAGCTCGTGCAGAAGCTCAAGTTTGTAACTTTTTATCATTGATTTCTTTTTGCTCAAATGTTGTAAAGAAATTAGTGACTATGACTTTTTAAACACATTCCCCTCTTTCATTTAGAAAACACAGTGCTGTTTAAGGGACAAAGGATCACTGACAAGTGCAGAGTAGAACACTGTAGAGATCCTGGATTAATTTCAACCAACGACTGTGGAAAATATGAGACCTGCCAAGAGAACAAGTAAATATGAGTGCTTCATATTAAGAACACAAACAAGTTGTGTGTCATGTGTGTTGTCTGTTTCACAGTGTTGTCTGTGTCATGTTTGTCTGTTTTACAGTGTCGTTGTATCATGTGTGTTCGCTGTTTTACAGAGTTGTTGTGTCATGTGTGTTGTCTGTTTTACAGTGCTGTTGTGTCACGTGTGTTGTCTGTTTTATAGTGTTGTTGTGTCATATTTGTCTGTTTTACAGTGTTGTTGTGTCATGTTTGTCTGTTTTACAGTGCTGTTGTGTCATGTGTGTTGTCTGTTTTATAGTGTTGTTGTGTCATGTTTGTCTGTTTTACTGTGTTGTTGTGTCGTGTGTTGTCGGTTTTACAGTGTTGTTGTGTCATGTGTGTTGTCTGTCTTATAGTGTTGTTGTGTCATGTTTGTCTGTTTTACAGGGTTGTTGTGTCATGTGTGTTCGCTGTTTTACAGTGTTGTTGTGTCATGTGTGTTGTCTGTTTTATAGTGTTGTTGTGTCATGTTTGTCTGTTTTACAGTGTTGTTGTGTCATGAGTGTTGTCTGTTTTACAGTGTTGTGTCGTGTGTTGTCGGTTTTACAGTGTTGTTGTGTCATGTGTGTTGTCTGTTTTATAGTGTTGTGTCATGTTTGTCTGTTTTAAAGTGTTGTTGTGTCATGTGTGTTGTCTGTTTTACAGTGTTGTTTTGTCGTGTGTTGTCTGTTTTACAGTGTTGTTGTGTCGTGTGTTGTCTGTTTTACAGTGTTGTTGTGTCATGTGTGTTGTCTGTTTTATAGTGTTGTTGTATCATGTTTGTCTGTTTTACAATGTTGTTGTGTCATGTGTGTTGTCTGTTTTACAGTGTTGTTGTGTCGTGTGTTGTCTGTTTTACAGTGTTGTTGTGTCATGTGTGGTGTCTGTTTTACAGTGTTGTTGTATCATGTGTGTTGTCTGTTTTACAGTGTTGTTGTATTGTGTGTTGTCTGTTTTACAGTGTTGTTGTATCATGTGTGTTGTCTTTTTTACAGTGTTGTCTGTTTTACAGTGTTGTTGTGTCATGTGTGTTGTCTGTTTTACAGTGTTGTCTGTTTTACAGTGTTGTTGTGTCATGTTTGTCTGTTTTACAGTGTCGTTGTATCGTGTGTTGTCTGTTTTACAGTGTTGTTGTATCGTGTGTTGTCTGTTTTACAGTGTTGTTGTATCGTGTGTGTTGTCTGTTTTACAGTGTTGTTGTATCGTGTGTGTTGTCTGTTTTACAGTGCTGTTGTCTTCTGATGACATTTTGGGTTTTGTTATTATTTTCCACAAAGTAAAAAAAAATAATAATAGAAGAATTTTTGAACATGATTTTTTTAGGGCATTTTATGGGGCTCCTGCAGACCCAAGTTAATTTCCTGCCTATGCCTAATGGTTAAGTCCGCCACTGGTGGTCAGTCTGTAGAACCGTCTGGCTCTAACGCCAGATTGTGCCTGTTAGCTTCGAGCTAATTTCAAACTAACTTTTACCTGCTGCCATCAATGTGCAGTGTAGATGTTTACTCTTGTATGTGCCACTGTGATAATGCTTCAGATTCAGAGGGTTGCAAAAGTTATTAGCATTAAAGCAGTTGGTGTACAATCCTTATACTTTAGCTGGTTAGTTAGATTGATAGTAAGCTTAGATAAACTAGCTTTCACCTACACATATGGTTGGCACACACACACACACACACACACACACACACACACACACACACACCCTAGTGGACACTGGAGGAACTGCAGCTGTAAAGTTAGACATTTTAACATGGGGCTCTATGGGGACTGACTCACTGCAGGAGACAGACTCTAGTGGACACTGGAGGAACTGCAGCTGTAAAGTTAGACATTTTAACATGGGGCTCTATGGGGACTGACTCACTGCAGGAGACAGACTCTTGTGGACACTGGAGGAATTTCTTTCTTTCCCTCTTTGTTTCCATCAGATGCATATTTGACGCCATATGCACTTTCACCGGACCCTCCATCATTTCAGCCGATGGCTTGACTGGCAACATCACAGATCGGTGTGATTACCATTTTTTTTCGATTTCAAAACCCAATTTTATCCAAGTAGACGGAAACTATGGGACACGCCGACGCACAGATGTGAGCTTTTTGGACACGGTGGTCATAAGACTACCTGGGTCTGCTGCATATTACCTGGAGCAAGGTGGAAGAGTCAAGGTAAGAAACCTACAGCTATGGCTCTGTTGTTTTATCTTCACAGACTCACAGAAAAAGACAGAGTGTGTTTTAGAGTGTGTTAACTTATTTTTTCTTCACTTTGTATGCAGGCAGGAGATCGAGTTCTAAACCTAACTACTCCAAAAGTCTCCGGCTCCCTGAAAATCTCTAAGAATGAAAAAGGAGTCACCGCCTTCTTTCAAACAAATACTTTGAATGCCTCTGTCTACTTTGATGGCTACACTGCTCAGATCCACCTCCATGGTAAATAAACTTAACTTGTATTATAGATTAAAGTCAGCTCTTTAGGGAACAAGACACAAAGGAACTGAACTGCTTAAGATGATAAACTGATGTTCATAGCTGAACAGGTTGGAGTGAAAAAGTCTGGATATTCTCTTTTGACTTTCAAAGACCCTTTAAGAACATGGAAGGACCCAGAAGACAGAGATACAAGTTTATCTAAACCATTTTATCAGGTTAACCCTGATACACAGACAGACAGACAGACAGACAGACAGACAGAGCCAACATCACTCTTTGTAGTCCTCTGTCCATTAAGAAACTGTAAAGAGTCGATGAAGCATCCACAGCCAATCAGGAGGCAGCTAGTCTTTGTTGACTTCAGAGAGTTTAACCACAAGATATTATGTCCAATCAGAGAGCATTTTCCTCGAGCATCACACATTAAGGTCCTCTTCTAAATGTCGCTGTGTGAACACAGACCAAACTTGAGGTCATTATGCAACAATGGTACAAACTGGTCCGTGATTCAGACCAGAGCAAACGATCTACAGGTGTGAAAACTTAATAAAATAAAAATGGTCTGTGAGTGTGTCGCAGACTAATGGAACAAATGTGGGGCTTTAATTCTAATGACGATGGAGGTTTTGGTTACAGTAGTTTACTGATCTGATTAACAGTCTTTCCTCTACCTTTTCCAGGAGGTGACCAGACTTATTTAAGGATAAACAACCTCTGTAGTAATATCAATTATATTAACAATGAGAGGATCGCATCGGACGGCAGGTAAGGACTCTTCCATGATCTCCAAATCCCACAATCCTAACACTTTCCTGATTAAGGTTGTAAAAATTTGCATTACTTTGATACTTTTATTGCCACGTGTTACAAGCAGTACAATGTTCTTTATTTTTATGATCAATAGAATCAGAAAGAACAAAAGCTTTAAACAAAGGAGAGGAAGAGACTCTCATTATATGCAAGCAGACTCGCAGACATTGTCTAAACTGAACACATTTTGAATAGTATTACTCGTATTGTATTGAAGTCTAAAATTCTGATATAGTGACAACCTTAATCCTGATGTCTGTGTGTTGATATGAAAATGTGAGAGCAGCACAGCAGCCCTGAGTTCACTTTGTTTCTCGACTTCTAGCTGTCAGAATGTGCAAACAGACAAAGCAGACCCTTCGCTCAACTGCCCTAAGGCAAAGAAAAGGTGAGCAGAGATTTCAGATTGTCACATTTATCCTGCAGCTTTCCTTTGTTTAGGTTTAACACACCACTGATTCTGCCTCTTTACCTCTCTGGAACAGATGTGGTGTCCTGAGAGAAGACCCTTTCACCCGCTGCCACGCGATCATAGCGCCAGATAGTTACATAAAAGTCTGTGAAGAAACTTTGTGTTCATATCCTTCGGTTGACAATCTGCCCTGTCATTACCTGGAGGCCTATGCCAGAGCGTGCAGCCTGATGGGCGTCCCTGAACTGAGTGGCTGGGGGCAAAAGTCCAACTGCCGTAAGACCAAACCTATTTACCCGTTACTTGTTCACAAAAGATGCTACTCTACCGGGTGTCTGGCGTCTCCCTTTAACTCTTCCTTGGAAGCTTCCCTAGTGTGGGGCCTTTGAGATTTTCAGTGTCAGAGGCCCCATGACAGGTGGAGGCCTATGAGGCCTGTGTGGCCGGTCTATGAGGCATAGCAGATGATATGTATTTAATTAATGACGGTTGCTTTTAATGCTCACCTCAACCAAAAAGTCCTCAGACTTCCAACAGTAGGGAAAATGAGTTTGATATGAATTAGTGGTTTTAAAAGGCAGAACTTGGACGTTACTTTGCGTGTTTTGATGCACTGGGAATCATTTAAACATGACAGGCCCTCACCAAAGCTGCACTGAGAGAAAAGATTTATGAGAATGGATGACGACGCACTACAACAAGAGCCTACCAGAACACAAAAAACTAAACTCCTCAAAAAAAGTTTGGAAATGTTATTTTGGTCATTTATTTGGCCCCTTTAATAATACTAATTGGTGTTATATTTTATTTCGTTGGAAAGCCTGATTAGTCATCTTTACAACGAGGTATAACTTGTTCTTGGAATGTGCCACACAGCTAAACGTGTGGGTAGCGCCGCTAAACAATTTGCCAAATTCCCCTGCAATCTTTTCCTGTTAGTGTTCACTCCTGTTTTGAGTTTCTTGGTGGAGTGGATGATTGCACTCTCCCACAGGAATAAGGAACAAACAACACATATTGGCCATTTTGACACTTTATTCATCATTCATTTTTCATTGAAACTCAAAACAGGAGTGAATACCAACAGAAGAACATTGCAGAGGATCATGGAACATTTTTTTTAGAGAGCTACCCACACGTTTAGCTGTGTTGCTCATTTCATGAATGCACGATCCTTACAAGTTGTACCTCGTTGTAAAGGTGACTAATCAGGCTTTCCAACGATATAACATACAACACTAATTAGTATTATTAAAGGGGCGAAATAAGTGACCAAAATAATGTTTCCAAACTTTTTGGGGGGGGTTTATTTTAAGTTTAGAGAAAGACAAACAGGCAAAATGCTTTGGTCTCTTGTATTTGTGAGTTAAACAAATAGTGCACAGTTTTCACTTTGATGGAAGAGAATTTAAACTTTTCAAAGCGGTTTGATTTGCACCATTTGCCTCACGTCCAGTAGCTCTCTCAAAACCTCTTCCTCCTAATGACTGCACGAGATAGGTGCTGGGTAGTATTCCACCTGATGGAGTCCACCTGATGAACAGTTTTCAAGAAGACCTCCAATTTTGCATTTCACTTAATCACAAAAGTCTGTTGTTATCCCTTACATGTCTTTTGTTCTGTTTCTCTCTCAGCCACCACCCATGAGGCCCTCTGTCAGGACAAGTTCTGTGCTTCTCACGAGTTCTGTGGTGAGACGGAGGCTAACGGCTTGGGTTGCTTATGTCAGTCTGCTTTCGCAGCCCCGTACAGACAAAATAAAACTTTCGGTAAGACAGCAGTGAAGGTTTGACTTGTGCAGGGTATTGATCCTCAGAGGCTGAAGGAAAGTCATGTCACACACAGGCACTCTGATGTTTTCCGAGGAACAGACCTGACTTCTTGAAATCAGAGATGATGACCTTTGTGTCTTCTGCTGCTTATCATCTGGTATTTGGTCTCAACCTGTATGTTTACTCCAGCAGAAGCTCTGATTTGAAGAAAGACAGGAAATGTGGACTTGTTGTGTTTCAAATGTATTTGGAGTTTCTCCTGTGGAACTTGATCAGTGTAACATGTCTGTGCTGCTGAATTCACAGGGAATGCCACCACCTGCTATAGGAACTCTGCTTCAGCTTCTTTAATAAACTGTCTCCTGATGGAAAGAGGCTTCGACTACACAACCTTACACCTCAAAGACCCAAAATGCATTGGTGAATTGCAAGACGGCGTGTTGACCTTCAGTTTCAACAACACTGAAATGTGCAAGACAGAGGTCATGGTGGGTTCACTTCAGCAGAGGTTCTCTCTCTAGTTTGGGGTCTTCCTGTGGGGTTGGCTTTAGTGTTGACCTTTTGCTTCTTATTTTGGTTAAGTGATCTTTTGAGCTTTTTCTAGTCAGCCATTATCAACCTAACATCTAATTCCCTGTGACCCTGCAGGATAGCGATACACAGGTTATCTACACGAACACCATTACTTCGTCAGAAAGCAACGACCCGATTATCCGTCAGGACGAAATAGCACTTAACTTTTCTTGCAGCTATGCTCAGCCACCAATCAAGACTCTGTCTTTCAAGATCCAGAGCAGGTGAGAGGTGGCTGATACTGTTGGATTAGAATACTTGATTAGATGTTTCTGAGTATAAACAGTTGTGTGTGTTTGTGCTTTGCAGCTCTGTGGTATCAGAGATTAAATCTGGAATTTGGCAGTACAGTCTGACCATGAAGGCCTACAGCGATGCTGGCCTCCAACAAACTGCAACATTGGTTACATTGAACCAGAAGATTTGGGTGGAGCTGAAGACTGCAGGACTGGATAGTAATTTGGTTGCAGTGGTGATTGACTCCTGCTGGGCAAACAAAAACAAAGAATCTGATAAGTTACCGAAATACAACCTCATCAAAGCAGGGTGAGTCACATGCGGAGGTGGAGGTTGTCTGCTGCGTTTCAAAATGAATCAGAACAACATTTCTTTAATAAATGTGTCTGTTTGTGAGCAGCTGTGCAAACCCCAAAGACAAGTCAGTGAAAGTAGAGGGAAACGGTGAAGGAACGTCCAGCGTCTTCTCCTTCAACATGTTCCAGTTCGCCAAGAGCGCTGCTGACGTCTTCCTGCATTGCAAAGTCAACCTATGTGGCAAAAAGGACAAGAGCTGTGCCCCGGTACTAATCTCCTCTACACACATAACACACACACACACTCATGAAACCAGCTGATTGTCCCCGGAAAATAGTTAGATAAACTGTACGACCTTTCCTGTCATCACACTGTAACCATGTACAAGCTCCAGGGTAGTTCCAGTCTCCCCTTCTTGTTAAGATGAGAAAAGCAGTAAACAGTTATTAAACTGGTGCTGAGCCTCTATCACACCAAAGAGCTCTGTTAACTGCTTAATATGTACTGCATCACCGTGGAGAACTTTGTGCAGCAGTCACCAAATTTTTTCTTCACCCGGAAGCACTTAATGGCATTTCACTTGTAGGAATCTAAAAAAATCCTTTGCACATCTATTTCATAAGACAGGTCTGCTCACTTTCTCAGTATTGAACATATAGACGGTCTGACAGAACAACCCTGACACAAAAGGTGAAATGAAAGAATCAATGTTTCTAATTCGGTGTCTTAAACTTCCAGGTATGTACGTCAAAACGTCGCAGATCTGCCAGGAATATGTACCTAGGAGCCCCAGCCTTGATCACCATGGCGTGGACCAGTTAGGTAAGACACAACTTTGCTATTTACTGACCCCTAACCCTAACCCAAGGGGGTAAGATTAAGAGTTGGGTCTGAAATTAGTGTTTGAATTATAAAGTCAACTGTTCTGATGAACAACGGTGGAGATTTTCTGATCAGGTCTGTGTGTCAAACCAAACAACAAAGTGAAGAGAGTCTACGAGTCAAACATGGTTTCAGTTAGAGGAAAATTTAATCAAACACAGTTTGTCTTCTTCCTTGTCTTCTCAGGTTGTTTTCACTGCGACTTGGACAGACTCAAAGGCTCACGACTTTCGCACTGAGTCCTGACTGTGATTCGGTCTCCATCGAGAGTGTGGGTCAAAATCCTACGCTGGGGATCAATGAGCTCAGTTCTCACAAGAATCTTTCTTTTGATTTTACTGTATACTGAATTTATCACTTAAAGAAAGAATGTGCAACATTTTACTCATAAATACAGCAGAACTCAAGTCTCTCCTGGTTAAATGTGTCTCTGAGTCATGACTGTCTACAATGAGGGAGAAGCTCGAGTCCTGCTGGCTGTGTTGTTGTCAGAGCCGTGTTTACATGGACGGGACAGCCAGCTCCTCCCCTTGTGTATAAAAGCTGTTTTAGTCAAGAACTAGAGTCATTCTGTGTCAATTTACATGTGAAGGTAAGAGCTAACTAAAGAGTGCCAACATTAGCATGCTAACACAACAATGCAGCTCGAGACAAGGACAATTTTGACTGCTGCTTGCGCTTAGTGCTTCATTATGATGCGTTCCTATTTGATAACGCCTTCGTGTTAACCAGAATGGATTGGTGTTTGAGGTGTGTCTCTGGAGGAGAGCGGAGGCTTCAGTATGGAGGAGGTGTGGCCAAAAAGCAGTTTGTTTTGGTTTCATACTGGTGCTCAAGGACGACATCTACTGGATCAAAAAGTCACACATTATTTCTTTAACATGATGTCTGTTCAGAGGAACATTGTTAATGAAGAGAAAAACCATCTAAAATGGGAAATAATGACCAAATCTGTGCATCGTCATAAATCGTTGAATTATATTCCAACTCTGTCAAAACTAATGCCTTATGATACTGACTTAAATTTGTGGTGTTTCTATCTTTCTTTTCTTTCCATTGTAAGCATACAAAAGATTTAAAAAAAAAATAAAAAAAGGGTGTGGGAAAATAAAAATTGTGTGTATTTCATCATTTTTATATTAAGGTGACATCATTACAGCTTATGAGAAAACAGCAAAGTCAGCACACTGGAAGCCTTTATCACTGCTCTACCGTTATTATCAAACGTTAAAGGACAATTTGTTGAAACGTGTTGATCTATACGCTGCTTCTCTATACCCAAGCAGATTAGAAAACATTAAATGACATTGGGCCTCATTCATTAACAGTGCATACACATAAATCTGTTCTTACACAGTTTGTACAAACGTTTCAGTACAACTCTGAGATTCATAAATATGTTTTTACTTGAATTTATTCTTACTGTGAACAAAGTTAGAACTTCCTCAGCCCATGTGTAGGCACAAATGATGAAGAACATGCTTTTTCAGAAAATGCTAACAAACATTCTTTTATTATTTATATATATATAACTCGGGGCACCAGCCTTGTTAAGTAAGGAAACTAATATTACTTGTAGTAATTAATGAATCTATAAATCGGTCTCATATCACTGGGATGAATTCTCAAGCAGTAAAAACCAGAAAAAGTAAAAGTTACACAGACAAAGTATTGAAAGTTTATATAAAAGTTTAATAAAGAAAAATGATGAACAGAAGAATTTAAAGGAAATGCATAAGTAATATCAGTATAATTACGACAGTGATATACTTGAATAATAATATTGAGTTGTTTTAAGTTGCCATGGTGAGATCCTTATGTCAAGTTTGGAGATTAACTATATTGTTTGGGGAATTTAACGAAGTGGGATTTTGAGAAATAAAAATAAAAAGGTAACTTAATAAATTTGGTGAAAGCTGACTCTGAGGCTTTGATTCGGATACCACAAGCTTGACTCAACAACCCAATCTCATCATCAGAACGCTTCCTTACTTATGCGTAGTGTTCAACTGAACGTGGTTTCGAGAAACAAAAGAGTTAACAAGAAACGTCTAAGAGATTTTAGAAGAAGTTACGAGGAAAATTTAAAAGAAAAGAAGCGAAAGAAGAAGAAGAAGAAGAAGAAGAAGAAGAAGAAGAAAAAAAATGTGCGCTCCTGAGAGACGAGCTACTTTATTCTGAGGATGACTTTATGAGGGGGCGGGGCCTAATATCTAGCCCGCCTCCGATGTTTCGCTTTTAATTTAATCCACTCTGAGTTCTTTAATTATTAAGAGCATAAATAAGAACTTTGATCATATGAACATCACCATGTCAATATTCGTATGTAGGATTATTTCCGGCAGTAAACATTTCAAACAATTATGCAATGAAATAGACATTACGTCCAACCTGAAGACAGTTAGACGAAACCAGCATGATACCATTCAACATTCAAAAACACATTAATATAGTATGAAGAGTATAAATTCATATCTTGAAATACTAAGTTTATAACTTGGACAAAATAACATATCAACTATTGTAATACCTGTGTCCTGAACCTCAGGTCGGTACAGCGCTTGCATGAAAGTGTTAGTCTTGATGTCATGGATACATATATCCGATTCAGGGATTGAACTGAAATTCTTCTATATCAGAAATGGATTATGTTGGTGAAGGCAGTTCGTTCAACGGGTCTAAAAGCTATTAAGTCCGTTTGAGATAGTCCAGATCACATCAAAGACCTCCCCTGCCGTGTTGATTAACTCGGCAGACGGCTGTCTTCCTGGGATTGTGTATTGTAAGAGTCGCTTCACACGTATCCAAGTGGTCTGGTTCGCTAACTTGGATTAAAGGCTTATTGTTTTTTTTATGACGTCCTGAATATCATCGTCCCACTTCACTGCGCTGCCAAACCTAGCTTACGTACAGTGAGATAAAGTTGTGTTTTGACAGACTGCCACTACTGCGTCACGACACCGTAACGTGACATGCAGTTCAAAGCTGATCACTATACAATGTGTTTCTTATTGCACTTCGATCACTATGGGACACACCAGCATGGATAAGATTATTGCACTGCAAAAAAGCCCAGCAAACACCAGAAACCTTTGCATTCTTGCACATGTTGATCATGTTGAGTTAAAGGTCCCATATTCTTCTTTTTCTGGTTTTATATGCTCTTTAGTGTGTTTTCCAAGTGTCCTGTGCATGTTTAGACACATCTATGTGCAAAAATTCAAAGTCCGCGGAAACGCGGCTTCTCCTACGTCCTCCTGTTAGCTGTAGCATTAGCCGCATGTAACGCTCGGTTCGAGCCCCCCTCGATAAAAATGTGTCAGTGTGACGTCATTGTCAGTGTGAGATCACTGATCTAAGCTCATTGGCTCGTTGTGGCCCAGCAGCTCATGTTGAAATTTCCGAGACGTGTGCTGAGCAACTGACCAATAACGACAGAGCGGATCAGCAGACCAATCAGAGCAGACTTGGCCCACGTGGGGTCTAACAGTGTGGGCTCAACAGAGTGTAGCTGACGGACTCAGAACGGAGAGGGAGCAAGGAGGAGCAGTTCATGAAAACAGACACTTTTTTATGACTTTATCTATTGTGAACATACAAAAGTAGGTACATAGATTAAATATACGAACCCCAAAAAGGGCAGAATATGGGCTCTTTAATACGCAGACAGCAGCAGCGAGCCCCTGGTGGCCGTCATATTGCTTTGTTTAATAGTCCTACTGTGTATCTATAACTCAAATAAAGACCACAATCAGAATCGTTTTTTATTGCCAAGTACATTTACACGCACAAGGAATCTGTCTAGATGTATTGGTACAAAAAGGAAATAAAGCAAAAAAAAGAACTTAAATAAAATATAAGAAGTAATTACAAATATATATATACATATATATATATATATATAAATAAGAGTGTAAGAAATATATAAACAAAATGTATAAATGGTGCAGTATTAAAAGTCCAGTGAGCTTTAATATGACGCATAAAAACATTCTTGCTATTTTGCTTTATTTCCTTTGTTAACTGTTTTTAGCACCAAGACAAATTCCTTGTATGTGTAAATGTACTTGGCAATAAAAAACTATTCTGATTCTGGTCTTTATTTATGGATCGTGATTTTGTATGTTTAAATTCAACACATATACAACACATTATATATTCCTATGAATAGCTTGAACTATAAATGACCATATCATCAGATGCAGCATCAGTTGTTGAATCAGACATTGCTGACTCAGTGTTTCTCATATAGTCAGTAGACTGTTTTAAATGAAACCAGGAAATCATTTGGCCCCATCTGCATCTTTACAGGTAAAACTACGCTGGCTGATTGCTTAGTAGCAAGCAATGGTATCAGACTAGATGTTTTTGACAGTTGTGTTGTTAAATTTTTTGTAGTTTTTCATGATTTGTGCATTTAAGTGATGTGTTGATGTGTCAGTTAAGGTATCTGGACAGCAGGGAGGATGAACAGATCAGAGGGATCACCATGAAGTCCAGTGCTATCTCTCTGCATTATAAAAAAGGTAAGGCTACTGGTTTTAGCCTTCAAAGTAACTGCAGAACTTATTTGTTGAAGAAATAGTATATTTAATAATACTATTTATTTTATTTACTGACATTAAGTATAACTCTGGATTATGACCCTATCCTTTATTATGCTCTAATTTAGGAGTGTCAAATTGACGGCCCACGGGCCACATCCAGCCAACAGCAGGTTTCCTCCGGCCCATGAGACATTTTGGGGTGAAGGGGGACAATTTTGAAATTTGAAAACTTATGAGATTTTCATAAATTAAATATGTCAAATACATATTTTCATCCAGTCATAACAAAAAGGATATATGTTCAGCAAAGAAATATACCAAAATTAATCAAATGTAGCACTTTCAACTGTCATCTCAGCAGGAAGTACCATCGTAAAAAATACAAGTTGCCAGGTCACAATCTGCTCCTGCATTATGTTAGATCAGCAAACAGGCTCTCCACAAAGAGAGAGGTTGAATGCAGGATTTTAGAGAGGTGAAAGGAATGGTCTTTTTTTTCGTCTTAGTTGCCAGGACTTTATCAGAACTACTGGACTTAACCCCAGGCACACAGCTACATGCTCATCCACAGGTAATCATCCACTCATCCACTTTTTACCTGTGTCTCCTGTCTTGACTGATGTGAAAAAAAAGTTTAGCTGATGAAAACAATGATTCCTTCATGGAGTTAACCAGAAAAAGCAGAATTGTCTAGTTAAA